GGGGGGAGGTCCTGCCTCAGGTGGAGGAGTTTAAGTACCTCGGGATCTTGTTCACGAGTGAGGGTAGGATGGAGCGGGAGATTGACAGGCGGATTGGGGCGGCGTCAGCAGTGATGCGGACGCTTAACCGGTCCGTTGTGGTGAAAAGGGAGCTTAGCCAGAAAGCGAAGCTCTCGATTTACCGGTCGATCTATGTTCCAACCCTCACCTATGGTCATGAGCTCTAGGTAGTGACTGAAAGAACGAGATCGCGAGTACAAGCGGCCGAAATGAGTTTCCTCCGCAGGGTGGCTGGGCTCAGCCTTAGAGATAGGGTGAGGAGCTCGGACATCCGGGAGGGACTTGGAGTAGAGCCGCTGCTCCTCCACATCGAGAGGAGCCAGTTGAGGTGGTTCGGGCATCTGGTAAGGATGCCTCCCAGATGCCTCCCTTTGGAGGTATTCTGGGCATGTCCAACTGGGAGGAGACCTCGGGGCCGACCCAGGACACGCTGGAGGGATTACATCGCCCGGCTGGCCTGGGAACGCCTCGGGGTTCCCTCGGAAGAGCTGACGGAGGTGGCTGGGGAAAGGACTGTCTGGGCTTCTTTGCTGAGGCTGCTGCCCCCGCGACCCGGACCCGGATAAGCGGAGGACGACGAGACGAGACGAGAGATTATTACTTTCAATAATGTTGTTGTAAGCTACTGCCATTACCTGCATATCTCTCTCTCTCTCTGTCTCTGTCTCTCTCTCTCTGTCTCTGTCTCATTGTGTCATGCGGATTACTGTTAATTTATTATTCTGATCTGTTCTGTATGACATCTATTCCACGTCTGTCCGTCCTGGAAGAGGGATCCCTCCTCAGTTGCTCTTCCTGAGGTTTCTACCGTTTTTTTCCCTGTTAAAGGGTTTTTTTTGGGGAGTTTTTCCTGATCAGCTGTGAGGGTCATAAGGACAGAGGGATGTCGTATGCTGTAAAGCCCTGTGAGGCAAATTGTGATTTGTGATATTGGGCTTTATAAATAAAATTAAACTGAATTGAATTGAAGCAAAACAGGCAAACAGGTATGCTTGGGCTGCAGGCGAGTGTCTGAGGGTGGAGAATGAACATCAGAGCCAGTTTAACACATGAACAGATTCTTCACATGTAAACAAACGTGTAAATAAGATGAACATCAGACTGTCAGAGAGGAGAAACTCATCTTTGCTTTCTGCTGGTTGAAGTTGTCGATGATGACTCCGATGAAGAGGTTGAGAGTGAAGAAGGAGCCGAAGATGATGAAGATGACAAAGTAAAGGTACATGTACAAGTTGTCCTCGTACATCGGCTGGGACTCCACCTACACACACACGCATTATGGTCACCATGGTAACCACTTTCAGGTCAATTTTACAGTTGTATTTGTTAAAGTAGGGTTAAAGTGTGTCTGTCTGAGAACAAAGGTAAGATTATTTCAGTACTACTATGAGTACTAGTATCTGTTATAGTTCTACTATGAGTATTAGTATCTGTTACAGTTCTACTATCAGTATTAGCATCTGATACAATTGTACTATCAGTACTAGTATTTGTTACAGCTCTACTATCAGTATTAGTATCTGTTACAGTACTAGTATCAGTACTAGCAACTGTTACAGCACTACTATCAGTATTAGTATCAGTGACAGTACTACTATCAGTACTAGTATCTGTTACAGTTCTACTATCAGTACTAGTATCTGTTATGGCACTACTATCAGGATTAGTATCAGTCACAGTACTACTATCAGTAGTAGTATCTGTTACAGCACTACTATGAGTATTAGTATTTGTTACAGTTCTACTATGAGTATTAGTATCTGTTACAGTTCAACTATCAGTATTAGTATCAGTCACAGTTCTACTACTATTAGTACTAGTATGTTACAGTGTGGTGTTAGTACCAGTATAAGTGTAACTATTATCCGCTCCAGTATAAATAAAAGTCATTGTTGTGTAATAAATTAAATTTACTCATCCACCTGTTTAAAATGTAATCAGTAATGTAAGTATTCCAGTCCATCACAGTATCTTATTACATTTGATTTGTTTCCTAACAAATGTTTTAAACTGGGTAATAAAGCTAAAAGGTTAAAAAACACAAGTCCATAAATGTATTTAAATTTGTCCCAATGGCCTGGCTGAGCTGCTTTGTCCAGAAATGTGTTCAAATAATAAAGAAAGCAACAGAATCAATGTTCGATCCAACATTTAAACTTTTTACCACAAAAACATTCAGAACTTTGATTAGTAACTATAATTTAGTTATTTAACCCTAACCCAGGACCAGTATCAGGACCAGGACCAGGGCCAGCATTAGTAGCAGTATTAGTATCAGTGAACTCATTAAAAGTATCAGAGGGTGAACTGACGTCTCTGGAGTCCACGGCGGCGTACATGATGTCCATCCATCCTTTAAACGTGGCCTGAAAGACACCAAGTAAACAGTTAAAAAAAGTGAAAGTAGAAACAGACTCAGCTCAGACAAGGAGTTTTCAGTCGCACAACATTTCTCACAGGTCTGACTCTAACGTCATGTGATTCACAGGTAATCAGTGGTTAAAGTGAGGAGGTGAACACGTGTTGGCGTCATCAGACAAATTTAACAGACACCATGTTTCTACTTCCTGACTCTGGGCTGGGACCCTCAGATCGAGACCCCAAGGTTGGACCCCCAGGTTGGGACCCCGGGTTGGGACCCCAAGGTTGGAACCCCAGGGTTGAGATCCCCAGTTTGAGATCCCTGGTTTGGGATCCCAGGGTAGAGACCTTCAGGTGGGGACCCCAGGGTTGGGACCCCAGGGTTGGGACCCCCGGGTTGAGATCCCCAGGTTGGGATCCCAGGGTTGGGACCCCCGGGTTGAGATCCCCAGGTTGGGACCCCTGGGTTGGGACCCCAAGTTTGGAACCCCCAGGTTGGGACCCCGGGGCTGGAACCCCAGAGTTGAGATCCCCAGTTTGAGACCCCTGGTTTGGGATCCCAGGGTAGAAACCTTCAGGTGGGGACCCCAGGGTTGGGACCCCCGGGTTGACATCCCCAGGTTGAGATCCCCAGGTTAGATCCCCAGGTTGGGACCCCTGGGTTGGGATCCCAGGGTGGGACCCCCGGATTGAGACCTGTTATGTGTGATGGTTTAATATTTCAGATGTCAGACTGGATCTCTCGGACTCACCACCTGCAGCAGCGACAGGTAGCCCATCCCAACATTGTCGTAGTTGACCTTTAAGTTCTTCCAGCGGACCTCGGTGGAGTTGTCTGCGATCAGCGCGAGACACTCTGTCCTGTTGTTGACATCCTCAGGGGGAAACACTTCCTGGGACGTCTCATTGAAACAGTAATAAAACTTTCCTGCGAACAGATTGACGCCCATGATGCTGAAGATCAGCCAGAAGATCAGACACACGAGCAGCACGTTGAAGATGGATGGGATCGCTCCGACCAGGGCGTTCACCACCACCTGAGGACAGAAAGGGACAGAGAGACAGGTCAGAGACTGAGAGACAGGTCAGAGACAGACAGAGACAGACAATGAGAGACAGACAGAGAAACAGGTGTTAGGGAACAGACAGACAGTCTGTCTGTCTGTTCCCCAACACCTGTCTGTCTCACCCTCATGCCCTCGAAGCGCGACAGGGCCCTCAGGGGCCTCAGAGCTCTCAGTGTCCTCAGAGACTTGATGGCTCCCAGCTCAGAGTATCCAAGGACGTTTGCTGTCAGAGACACCAGAGACACCTAGAAGACACAGGACACCTGCTGATGACATCACAGCACAGGTGACCAATTAACAGACAACAAGTCCTCCTTGTTTACAGTGTGTCTGTGACCACTTTAACTCATCCATATGTAATCAATAATCAGTTACTGATCAGTTTATATGTCCACAACAAGGATGAATCAGCACCAGGCACTGATAGGATAAATAACAGTGAGAACATGATCAGTAACACTGAGGGGAGTTTTTCCTGATCAGCTGTGAGGGTCATACGGACAGAGGGATGTTGTATGCTGTAAAGCCCTGTGAGGCAAATTGTGGTTTGTGATATTGGGCTTTATAAATAAAATTGATTGATTGATTGATTGATTGATTGAGAACATGATCAATAACAGTGAGAACACGATCGTGTTCTCACTGTTATTGATCGTGTTCTCACTGTTATTGATCATGTTCTCAGTGTTACTGATCGTGTTCTCAGTGTTATTTGATCATGTTCTCACTGTTATTGATTGTGTTCTCAGTGTTATTGATCCTGTTCTCACTGTTATTGATTGTGTTCTCAGTGTTATTGATCCTGTTCTCACTGTTATTGATCGTGTTCTCAGTGTGATTGATCCTGTTCTCACTGTTATTGATTGTGTTCACAGTGTTATTGATCATATTCTCACTGTTATTGTGTTCTCAGTGTTATTGATTGTGTTCTCAGTGTTATTGATCCTGTCCTGTGTTATTGATCCTGTTCTCAGTGTTATTGTTTGTGTTCTCACTGTTATTGATCGTGTTCTCAGTGTAATTGATCATGTTCTCAGTGTTATTGATCATGTTGTCAGTGTTACTGATCATGTTGTCAGTATTATTGATCCTGTTGTCACTGTTATTGATCATGTTGTCAGTGTTACTGATCATGTTGTCAGTGTTATTGATCCTGTTGTCAGTGTTATTGATCATGTTGTCAGTGTTATTGATTTTTTTTTTAATTTTTTTTTTATACTTGTCTGCATTGGTCTTCATAGCTTAGCGCCACTAAAGGGTGTAAGCTTCTTGTGAAGATTGATGCACTGTTAATCTTGCAGTCAAGTATTTTATACCCATAATGCGTGGTTGTGACCGTCACCCACCCTCCCTGGAGACTAGCCTAACAGCCTTTATTGGAAAAAACTTCCTAATATGAGTCAGAGAGGGCCGTGATACACCAAAGTGTGTCGGGGGAAAGTAAGGAAACAAGCAAGGGGGAGGGGGCAGGTGCTTAAGTCCTGAGTTATATAGTAACAGTGCATGCGGAGAAG